GGCTCAGATTGTGCAAGCCAGGAAGCGCCTCGTGCTTGCTAGCTTCACTTCTTCCATGCAATTGCAGCCAGCCGGCACGCTCGTACTCGCGGCCGCACTTGACACACCTACTTGCAAATACTGGCAGTCTTTGGTCAAGTTGGCGTAGGCCCTAGGTACATCTAACGAGTGAAGCTTGGGAGTTTCGTGTCAGAGCCTCTCCACGAAGATGTTCCCGTGCAGCTCGCTCAATGCATCTGCAGTAATTCCGGATTTGCGGTGCAATCCATCAACCTGCGTCGAAGGACTATTATTCATCCCAGATCACTCTGCTGGTACAAAGGACGACCTAGCTAGGCGAACCATCGCATCGCTCAAATGCATGCAGGTGACATTCTGCGAGATGATGTGTTTGAGCACTCCGACCTTCGCAAGATCAGAGTGTCTGCAATCTCCGTACGCTTCTGCGGGCTCACAAGCTGCAAACCTTGGGCAACCCCGGCAACAGCCCAAATCAAAACTCCTAAACCCTAAACCCCTAAATCCTGAACACCAAGCTTTCTTCCTAAGCCCAACTGCCTTCCAGAGTCTGAAAAGGAAGCCGTGAGTCGGACCAGGTCTGGCCTGGACGCACCTGAGCGGCTGGCGCTCACATGGATGCAACCCTTACTTAAATCATGTATCCGTCTATCTATCTATATACATATATATATATATGACTGTATATTATATGCTATATGTTACATATTGTATATTAGCCTACTTTCACGGGTCTTGGTTGGGCTCTTTCCCCGAAATTGAGGACCGTCCCCTGCCTCGGGGGTCTCGTGCCCCTGTCTCCCTGCTCATAAATGAAAGATACACACATGGGGGGGGCTTCCGAAAATAGGGGACCGTAGTATAGCACCCTAAATGGTAGGATCCTATAAGGTACCCCTAAGTTTCGGAAAATCCCACATACACATGCATGCATGCACAGGTTACCAAGACGACCATGCAGGTAAGCAAATGGACAGAGATAGCAGAGACGCATCTCCGGGTTTAGTTAAACTCCACCTCTCACTGCTTCGGACGAAGCGCTGCTCCAGGATGCTCGACGGTGTTTCACCTTTTGGTCTCTCCCACAATCCTGGTCCAGTTGGCAAGCTGGTGTTCATACCTCGATGAGTGTCAGTGTCAAGATGCATCGGCAAGAGTATCCCGAAGAACAGAGACTGTACTATGACATGCTATACTGCTTTAGGGCTGGTGCCGCTTCGGAAATCGGCGATTCCAGCGCCAGTGGACACACCAGCACCTCCGGGTACTTCCCATGTCAGAAAATGCCAGAGCACTTTGTCATACTGCGCCTGCTCTACATCTACGAGGGTCGGGGTAGCCTTCCTCTGAACCAACTCGGGCACTTAGGGCCTGGGATGTGTCCTATCCAGTGCACCTGTGAACGCAATCACGTGGCGAGCTTTGGAGATCATCTGCGCCAGTTTCTCGCACTTTGCCTCCAACTCGGGCTTCGTGTCGAAAAACTCTTTCAAGCGGTCCTGAGCTCAGGATGATCAGCGGCTTTCCAGCTTTGACTAGCTCAGTCAAATCGACCGCTGCAAGTTTCATACCACTCCTTTCTATACTCTACTATACTATACGCAACTATACTATAAGACACAATACTCAATACACTATACACTGTACGCCAAACACAAGCCGTATCCACCATAGACTATCAACTGTATGCTACATACTCTGTGCGCTATACTTTAATATTACTACACGACGCTAGACCAGACGTAGACTCTACTTTACTATGCTGCACTTCACTGGACGATACCAGATTATACTACCATGCAGTATAATGTACCAGCATGACTCTGTCAGAACAGAGCGGAAACAAGCTGAGGCTCGGATTCGTAGGCGGCCCAGCAGCCGGAGCAAAAGAACTGCTTCGTTTGCCGCTCATCCACCCTTCCCAATGGGTCTCGCCGTCCGCATTGGGCACAAGCTGGCGGTCTTCCGTTAGCAATGGCAACCTCATACTAGCAGAACTGTTCGAAGTGCCCAAAACATATTATATTGCAGTAACCAATTCTCCCTAAAAGCCCAAACCTCGCAACTCAGCTCGGGTCCATTGCAGCTTCCTGGCAGCCCATGCAGCTGCGCTGCCCATGTCGCCCTGAGTGTCTCGAAGGCCACGCTTTCTTCACTTCTGTTAGTTTCCCCAAAAATGTGTCGACCTGGGGGGCTTGGTCACTTGCAGTGCTGAAGATGAAAAGGCTAGTTGCACATTTACTTCGATTGTCGTCTCCTCGGAGGACCACCCACTTCCCGACCCCAATCTTATCTTGGTGCGAGCACGTCACCGTGGTATCGGCATCCCGGTCCGCAGCATTGCCGGCAGGTCATGGCTGATCGTGGCTCAACTGCTCAACATTAATTGTGCGATGCTTGTCGCCTCACCACGGCTTGTAGAGGCAACTGTACTGTCCTGCGACATCTGCGGTTGGTCCATCTCCGGCTCATACAGCTACCATAGTCCCGGTTTGAAGGCTCCGGGCCTCGAGGGCTTCATGGGCTTGGGCCTAAGTGTGAACTTCCGGGTGCCCCGGAGTTCCAAGGATAAAAAAGCACCCGAGCCCGGCTCCAGGACCTTTTCAGCTAGTCGGATTTAGAGTCACATGTTCTGCTGCACTTCCTTGTGCAGCGCAAGCAATCAGTGACAGCACATCTGCCATGCATACCAGAACACCACGTTGATAGATCGAAACGTTGAGCAGTAAATGCCTTTAAGCCGCTGTACATGAAAGTGCGTTCCGCATCAGCAAAAACGGCTCAAAAGACACAACATATGCCTGGAGGGCTGTTCTGTTTTGGAGTCCTCTCCCTCCTAGGGCTCCTGAATGTAGTGACATCATGATTAGATAAACTATCCGCTCAAGTGGACCGCGGCAACTCAGAACAACCCCCGCCTGTGCTGTGTGATCCTGCTGTACTGCAGGACCTTGGCCTCTTGCCAACGAGCAATAGGTAACTGGGTACCCGAATCGTGTTTGACAATAGCAGCCTCCCAGCTGGGGCCTTTGGTTATCCCAACTTGCTGACTTGGAGGGGTGACATGTGCAGCACTGCCGGCAGACAAAAAGCGACTGCCTGGCTTGCGTGTGCTGGCTGTCATTCCCGTGCTGACTCCGACGTCTCGTCTGACTCTAAATCTCCGCCTGAAGGCGTCTCCTCGATAGGATTCAACCTTGCCAGGACTTCCAAAAGCCTTTCACTGGAGATGTCTGCTGGCCGAAAGATGCGGTAGTTCCTAATGGATACAAAAGTCATCCCCAAAGACACGAACATGGAATAGAGAGTATGTGCGCAAACTTCTCGATCATATACAGGACACATGAGCGTGGTCTCCTTCTCGATTCGCATCTGATGATTTATAACTGAGATGCCTTGCACAGGTAGCAAGACCTCCTTGGAACCCATAGGAAAGCAAGATAGGATTGGCAGCAGCAGTGGCAGAAGCATGTAAACCGCCACCGTCTTGGACTGCGAGGCCACACGGAAGAAGCGAATCAGTGTGTCGTCCGCTTCCTCGCCCATCTCGTCCTCTTTTCGGAGTTGAAGGTCAAGGACAGAGCTGATGGAACCGGAAACCACCCCGAAGCCGGCCATGCCGACAAAGGAGCTCCAGACCGAGAAGAAGATAAGGGCACCGTTGAGCCCCGGCGTCGTCAATGGAGAGTTTGAAACGCACCAGCCATGCTGGTCCATCTCGACGGATCCGGGGAACATGCTGAGAGACAGCTGCATGCTATTCACAAGGATGAACACCACTATGAAAATCCGAATCATGCAGTTCGAGCGGAAGATATCCTTCATGGTGACTCGGTGTGGCTGCTTGCTCCACATAAGACCCATTCCTGGCATCGTGTCATTCACGCCGCCGCATGGAGTTCCACACCACCAGCGTCTCTTCGGGACCTCAGTTTCTTTCACTTTCCTTGCGCGGCTCGATCTGCTACGGGTTTAGGCTGCGAGACAACTGAGCAAAGAACCCTGTTGAGCAACTCTGCTGGAAGCGGAGGCTCCCCCAAAATCACCAGAAAGTATCTGGTCATGTTTCCAACCACTACGCACGAAAGGATCGCCATGCAAAGCTCAAGGGTATAGGCAGTAGCTGGTCGCAGCATGACCACCTGATCATATCACTCTGCGAAGATGCAAGCGAAGCAATCCTCCCTAGCAGTCAAGGACTCTACGTACATTTCAACTGCCTGATGCTTGGCAGGCAAGTCACGAAGGCAACCGATGAGATCGCAGCGGGGATGTAGACGATCCCTCGAACCAAATCGATCGAGTAGGGGACCAAAGGCCTCTGATCCTGGAAGGCACGAGCGGGGTGTGGTCATTGCGGATGACCCGAAATCGCATGAGGTCAAGCCAGTGTCCTGTTCGCACATTTCGTGGCTCAAGCGCGCGTCCTTGATGCCCCATCCTTGGATGTGCAGGTTAGCTAACCAGGCAACGAACGGAACAGATTTCAAGCAAAGGCATGCGGAGTACCTGCCAGGTCTCGAACAACGAGCGTAATCGTCACCAGAAAGTTGATAAGTGTAATCACACCGAGCGTGATCCTCAGTTCACAAGCAACGACTCAAGGTTTTTCCTGAGTCTGAGGTGCGGGTGTATCAACTGCGAGCAACAATAGGGCCGAAGGCACAGTTGCCAGGGCAACTTATCTTCGGTCACAAAAGCTGTATAGGTCCAGATAGCATTCAGCGGCATGGCAGCAGCTGCAGCTGAATAGGTCTGAAGAGCTTCTCGCCGATGCGCTAGACACTAGATCTTCGCACGGATTGGTTGACTTGCCAAGATGAGAGCTTCTGACTTGCAGCTCTAGATACAGATGGTCTCTCATCTATGCATGATACTGATATGTTTCACCCATGTGGAGCCCAAAAGTCTTGCAAGCCCACAGCACTGTCCCCGTCGTAGCTTCAGACTGGCATCCTGACTGCTTACGTTCTCGTCCGGGCCTGCGGAGGCACGCCGCGCGGATAGAACTCCTGCACACCCGACCCCAAACATCCCTGCACACTAAAGCCCCAAACCCGTCAGTGCCCGTCAGAAAGGGCAGTTGTAGCTCGGTAGACTGATACCCGCACAGCAAACGCCGTACTCCTGCACAGCGCCCATGATGTCCTCATTGCAGGTCAGCGTCAGTAAAATGGCTTCGTGTGATTCGGGACGCTCCGGGTCTTTTTTCTGCCAGAGCTCTCTGCAAGACAAAGGACATGAGGTTTCCGTTTATGAGGAGTACCTTCTTGCCTGAGGCTTTGTACAACAAGATCCCTGCCATTTAGATCCATTTAGGATCTCTGCTCCGGTTTCCGAAACCCGATAAGCCTTAAACCACCCTAAACCCTAAAGCCTTAAACCCTAAACCCCCCATGCTTTCTTCGGCCACTCCCAGTCATCGTCCTCTTGAACCATTGGCCAAAACACGTCCAAAGGGATCTCCTCCGGGACCGCCAGCGTTACCGAGTGGACCTGAGGTCAGAAGGCGTATGATATTACGTACTCTCAATAGTGTTATTACGAATAATCATAGTTGAAACAGTAGTAGGTAGTGGTAGTAGTAGTCGTCGTCGTCGTGGTGGTGGTGGTGGTGGTGGTGGTGGTACTCGTAGTAGTCTTAGTAGTAGTAGTAGTAGTAGTAGTAGTAGTAGTAGTAATAATAACAAGAAGAACTTTCATAACAAAAAACATTAATAATAACGGTGAAAAATAACCAATAAGAAACAATATCAATAACACTAATCATAATCATACCATTAGTAATACGAACATAATTGACGAAAGCAATCAATACATATATATATATATATATATATATACATACATATATACACACATATATATATATATATATATATATATATATATATATATACACATATACGAATAGAGTAATAAAGTATAATGCAAGGTAGTGCAAGAGCACATTATACTATACATAAAAAGTACAATATATTACAATGTGATTTCCACATTTTGAGGATACCGCATGAGTCCGAAAAAGAGACACCGTAGTTTGACGACCACGCTTCTGCATTTTTTATTTTATGGTTCTTGGCTGACGAGTGCCAGGACAAGCAACCAAGCAAACTCAGGAAATAAGACGAAGCCAACAACGTGCACAAACAGACCGAACCGAACCAGCCGAGGTTTCCCGAGTCCTGGGCGCGGGAGACCGGGTCTACGCTGGACATGCCAGGCATGTCTCCTCGTGTTGCATTGCGATGGTCAAGGATCGCCACGGGTCAAGTCGTAGCGAGTGGAAGCAGGAGAGTGAATCCCAGCCGGGGCCTGCATTCAGCGCCAGCATGGCCGCCGCCACGCCTCAGGCCATGCTAGGCGTGCTGCCACAGAAGACAAGGAGCTTCAAACGATCCGGGAACGGCACGTCGACGCTCTGTGTGCAGCACCTCGGTCGCCTGGTCACAGGCCCGGGCAGCCTGAACCTCAGAAACATGGCAGAACATCCCGCAAAGATTTTCGTCAACCTTCCTGAGTGTCCCAGTAGAAGCTGGCAATGTACTAGAGCTACTGGCATCGACTTCCGGACATCCTTGCAAGCTTCCGACAGCTAAGATGCTCGCAGCTCTCTTGAAGGCTTCCCCTGTGCTTCATTTGCCAATTGGCCAGTGATTCGGGGCATGAGCACAGCACAAGCGCAGCGCAGCCTGCAATGCTGTCGTGCTTTGCAGCCGCCTGCCAGCACTGGAACCGTGAGAACGCCATTTGAGAAGCGATTCAAGCTCTGTTTGCCGGCCTCAGCACATCTCTTGGTGCCTCGACGACGTACCTCTGCACCTCGTGCCGAGGGTCCACTTCATCCCGGTGACCGCTCGCGAAAGGCACGCCCACCTGAGCTGCTGCTGCTGGTCGTTCCAGCGTCCTCCTGGCATGGCAAGTTCATCAATGGGCAAAGCAGAACACAGCTGACTTCCAGCTCCGCGTTGCCTCCGAGTCCGAGGTGCACAGACGCCGGCCTGCAGCGTCCGGACTTAGAGCTTAGATTCTCGAACCTCCCGCAGAAGAAAGTTCTGCAGTCTCTAGTCTTCTCATGATGCGCCAGTCGAACCTCCCCGGATGTCTCTGCTCCGCCTCCGCACCTGCAGAAGAAGGCGAACAGGTGCAAGCCAATGAGATTAGACTGGGTGAAAGCAACACAAGAATGTGTCGTCCAGGGATGAGGTATGAGTGCAGGCCAGCACTTCAAGCCAAGCCGAGGATTTAGTTTAAAGCTTGCGTACGGCCCCAGGCTCTACAAGATGGTACGGGTAGGTCACGAGCCCGTGCTGAAAGCAAGAACTCGCTAGATCCACAGGTACTGGTAGTGATGGAGGTTCGGGTTTCAGATCACCAGGTCCTTGGACCTCTATCCCTGTCTCGATCTAGAGTCGACGGGTCTGGAGGTTTCGGATGTTTTAGTGGTTGAAGATTAGGCCCAAGTACCCTGACCAGCCGGATACCTGGATCCCCGCGAAGGTGGTTGAGAGTTCCGGGTTAGAGTTTCGAAGACCCGTAGGAGTCCTGCATCCCCTGAACGACATACCCCAAGAACTCGGAAAGCAGGTCATGACGCCCCAACTCCATGTCAGAGACGCTTTCGCGAGAGACGCCTCCTCCCCTCCATTCTTTCCAGAGCATTGCACTGTAACACTGCATCATTTCGCACTGAAGACTGTCCGTCACGTGATGAGTCAATGTTGGGGCAAGCCGCTTGGTGCCAAGGCAAAATTACAGTACTGCATCACATCAGCTGAAGCCCAGCTGAAGTCTCACACGCCAAAACAAGCTGCCACGGCCTCGCGATCGGGGGACTCCTCGCTGGGCTCGACGTTTCCCGTTCCTAGGAGTTCAGCAACTCCGTATGTACGATTCCGTAGGCAGATTATGCTGCCTGAGGATCGTAGGTCGTCGAATCTAAGGGCTTGGGGCCGAGAGCCACGCGGATTTCGGTCTTTAGCTCCATGATTGAACAGCCAGCTCTTGGTTCTATCGATGCACCGGCCCCTCTACTCTGATATAGCGACAACAACTTGAGACAAGGTGCTCAAATGTTCGTCGAGCTCGTCCAACAGCTTGGCGTACTGGTGGCTGCCTGCGTTGAGCAACGAGGGCTTCTCGCATATAAGCAGCAGTCATGTGCATCGTTTGACTGCTTTGGCAGAACCTCCAATGGCGTGGAGGGCAGATAACCTTAGTGAGCAAAACCCAACAGCTTCAGGCTTCAAAGAGCAGGTGCTTACCCAAATCTAAACCCTAAAGCCCTAAACCCCATTCAACAGCTCCCTCGTATCGTATTATACTATGCTGAATTTGAGTCTTAGTACATCATTTTTGCATTATATATTCGATCACATTATGTACTGTTTTGCTTCTCATCTATTATATTCTGTCGTGTCATTGCATTCGGGTATTTTCGGATTCGCCTCTCATAATTAGAGGCGGATCGCAGAATCTCGCTGCAAAGGTGTCTTGGTCCCACACGAGGCTTTGAACTCCGCGGCCGGGCAGCGGCCCTCCGAAACCTGACTTTCTGGGTCGTATTGAAAACATGCAGTAGTACTTAGTAATAACAGCAGTAGTCATGTGGTAGTAGTAGTAGTAGTAGTAGTAGTAGTAGTAGTAGTAGTAGTAGTAGTAGTAGTAGTAGTAGTAGTAGATCATAATAATAGTAATTAGTAGTAACCATAGTAGCCATGGTAGTAGTAATAATAGCAGTCATTGTCGTCGTAGTGGTAGTGGTAGTGGTAGTGGTAGTGGTAGTGGTAGTGTTGATGCATTGGGGTTTATAAAATGAGATGGTGCTAAGGACTTGTGCAGGGTCCGACTTGGAGCTCCAAAACCCGAAAGACGCGTGGCAGATCCCGAAGCGAGGTGAATTGGGCGTTCACCTTCTAAGGACTGCAGGGCGTTCTGCTACAGCAAGGTCCCTCACACGCAAGCGCTCAACCTCACTCTGTTTGAAATCATTTCCTTCTAAGAAGTTGTATCCATGCTAGCAGCTTTGGACACGCTTCCGGCTCGACTCCTGTTCCGGTTGTTCAGCATCTACGATCTGGCAGCTTCAATCGATAAGGGACGTTATGTTAAGCAATAGGGCCCTTGTTTTAAGGCTCCCTAAGCAAACACGCACTTTCTGAAATCACCCATCTGGCCCTGGCGCCCGAAATCTGATCCTGCGGTCGCATCCACAACTCAAGGCTCTGACTCAATATTGATATTACCAGTATGACTTCACCTGTCTGTGAACCCCTGACTCTGGGCTGTCGGCCGCATACTCGTAGTCACCTGGAGCCGAGTGACACTCCTATCTTAGTCGGCAGGCTATAGCAAACTAAATCAAATATAAGGGACCATAAGGCCACAAGGAATAAACTTAGCACATCGTTGTTGTTGTGGTGACGGGTGGCGTCTTGAAGGACAACGATTTCCAGACTGTCCGGAGCTGGGGGCTAGGACTGACGGCATGTTCAGCATCCGTGGCGGGGCTGAAAGCTTTTCAGCCGGCATCTAGAGAATCTGTCGCCGTTATCTTGGAACGGTTTACGAGGCAGAAGGGCGTGAACGCATGAGCATAAGATGGGCGTTCCAAAAAGACTGTAGGCATCGCATGTTGCAGAGTTTCCTGCGGAGATTGGAGTATTGAGCCAAGGCCCGCGAGGTACTGAGCCCAGTGCGCAATGAAAGAAGAAGCCGCTGTGTCTCTCCGGCCGCACATTGCACGGTGTGAATGGGCCTTGGTCTTGGGACTGAGTGAAGAGTAGGAGTGGCTTTAATAGTGATTAAAACCGATCATGTCAATCAGCTACCAACACTCTCGCCGTTCAGTGTGGCCGTTCAGTGTGCGAGGGGGATCTCTACTCCTTCTCTTGCAGATTTCTTCGGTGTTGCGCACCTGAGCATAAGTACTCGAAATCTTCGGCTCGTCAAGAAAGGAAGGTGCGCGATGCAAGCTATCCCAGGCAGCGACGACCACAAAAAACTCAAACTCGGCAGCCAGCACAGGACAGTCGGTGAGCAGAAGCTCGAAAGACAACACCTGGCCACACATGAACTGCATCTACCAGGAACAAGACTTGAAGCGTCAGGTGCGTGAAGCCTTCACCACCTCACCAGACGCTGTGTCTCTGAGAGAACAGCCCACGAGTGTGTGACCTTAGTTGTCTCTGCTGTGCGAGACTTCCCTCTAGGGAACTTTCGGTACACATACTCGAGCACCCCTGAAATCCCATGACCAGCCCTAAAGCCCAAAACCAGTTAGGAAGGACCGGGGCAGCTGCAGAATGTGAGGTATTCCTCGGTGACTACGGGAGTGACTCGGAGGAGGTAGCGGAGGATCTCCTGCGCAAATCGGCCCCGGAGACCGGCGGTAACGCTGCTGCCGTTACTTGTGCGAGTGTTGTCGCCTTTCTAACTGGGACCTCAAGCCTGCACCGCCTTTACAGAGAAATGGATGAAACGTCATGAACACTTGGGAATGGACAGCATCTGTTTCAATCGAAAGGTGGCTATGACATGTTATGACCTTTCCTGCATGTCTTGTACAGTTTGCATCTGAATCTTCCAAAGAGGATGTCGACACCCTCAACACACCCCTTGCACGTTGAACAAAGTATGTGTCGGTGTAGCACCGTGTTGCTCATCCATGTCTCGAGTGCCAACGCTCTCGACTCGGTGCCCGACACTCAGTGAGACCAGCGGTTCCACCATGACCTCAGCATCGGGTACCAAGGCCGGTGTTGGCGGGGCAGGGACGGGGGTGTTTAGGCTTTCCTCGAAGGGGTGCACTTGGGCTTAGATCCAAACCACCAGAACACAGCAGGTACCGGTAGCAAAATGAATCTAAGAATCGTGAACTTCATCCTGAAATCGGTCTTGCCCCTGAATCTTCAGGAGCGATAATTTCTGAGCCAGCGGCCGAGACGACATCCCGACCCAAGCGACCCTTTTGCGAGACCTCCTCGTGATCTTTGCTGTAGGTTTATAAGGTTCTGGTGGGATGTTCTAGCTTCGGGCGCTGCTTTGTCGTCCGGAAGCAGCTTGATTCAAGCTTTGTACTTGCCTCACCGTTCGCATCAACTCCAAAACCAAGGTAACCTGTGGCCCTGTGGCAACTTTCCAGGAGCCACGAGGCCCAGCCAAACAGCTCCCGAAACTCCGAGGCTCGCCCACGCCAACTCTGGGCTTTCTGGGATTCTAGGGCTTGGGGATTTTCATATGTCAGGCGTTCTATTCCAAAGGCCGGAAGAAAAGCGTAAATCACACCCGACACTTAGTTTTGGCCACCCTTCGAGTATCCCTTTTGAGTAACCCTCATGAGTGAGCTTTCAGCGCTCCTTGGAAGAACACTGCCAGTGCTCCAGGCGAAGCTGCACGGGCTCCGTGAGCGCCTGAGGGCACCGAGCGGAGCGGGCAGATCTGCAAGCGTGGTCCGGAGGGTTTGCGTGTGGGGCTTCGGGTAAGTTCGCGACGGTAATGTAGGAGATCGATTCGTGCGCAGACTTCTTTGCGTTACATTTGTTGAAATGGGATTCGCGCATGTACACGCCGGATTCGGAAACTGCCGGCACCGAAGTAGCACCACTGCATTCCAAAACCAAACATTCTCAACTTTGAGCCTAAGCCCAACAGTCTGTATGCAAAACCACCTTAACCCTGGAACCCTGAAACAGTAGAATCCTAAATCGCAAAGACTCTAACCCTAGCAAAACAAATCGCAAACCGTAGTTAGATACAGTATGTTCGAATCACACAGGAAGGCCTGAAGAACTGGCAACTTTTGCAGAGCAATCAACAGAACAGGAATTCTTTTTCTATCTAAGAACCTGAATCTAGATCCGAAACTGAAACCCATTACCGGCGTATTGAAATATCTTTTTGCCCCGTAGATCCACGGGGTCTGACACCAGCAAAGCAAAGAAACAAAATGTTGTCGAGCTGGTGCAAGGCAAGGCGATAGCTTCTCCGCAACGTGCGAGCACGAAGCAAGGTGATATCGGAATTCAGAACTGCGCGTGAACATTCAAGAAGTATCAGTGATGGTACTTGTTCGAGCGCCCGTCATCGAAACTTTAGTCTATTTGGGGTAGTGAAGTTTGTAAGCGCAATCGAAAGAGGAATGCGACATGCCACAGGAGTTGTAATGGATTTAGCAGTCACAGTCATGCACTCAGAATTTGTGCTAGTAACATATGTTCTGGAAGTCGCGACCGTTGCAACAACAGTAGGCAGCACAAGCACAGAGCTGAATGAACTCCCGACCGATCCCAACTGAGCAAGAAGAGTACAAGAAGACAGAAGGAACGGTCAAGGATGACGGCGGACGGTCCTGGTCCTGAACCCCGAAAGCCAAATCCAAACGTCGGGCATACGAGTATGGCCTTCAAGCCTCGATCGCGCTTGTATCGCCAGATAGGAAAGCCTCGGGAACGGGGTTTTCCCTGATGATGCTTCTGGGCTGCGAGCCGCCAAAGTAGCCGTGCTCCCTCTTTGGGATGCGCGAAGTGAAAGCGTGGCCAACAACCGATCTTTCGTGTAATGAACGCACCTGAACACTGCCTCACCCTCAATCCTGGCTTGAAACGAGTCGCACTCCGCTGTGCAAACCATGGCTTGCAAGACCTGCGGCTCCCGGGTTTTGGGTTGAGCAAGCTTTTTACCGCTTCCGCTCTTGGCTCTTCCTGGTTTTGGGTATTTCACGGTAAGTGGCTCTCAGGGCTTTGAAGATCTTTGAAGTCGACGTGCAGGGGCAGTTTCAGGAGTAGATTGCTCGACATTTTGCATGCTGCCACTGCAGCTACCGACCTTACAGGGAAATTGAAAGGAGTTCAAAGACATCCCTTGGCGATGTCTCCGACTCCACGGCCCTTTCCGGACAGCATGGAAGGCCATTGCACCATAACGCTCCAAGAAGCTTGGTTTACAGGCTGCAAAACACGAAACCCTACAACGTTACAGGGCTGAAACCTTTGTAGACCTCATCATAATAAGATGGGGCCTCCAGAAGGCGTCGCATCGCCGCCTGCACAGAAGCTAGTGATGGTGGTCTAGCAGTAGCAGTAGCAGCAGCGAAGGAGTAGCTTGCACTATTCCTGAAAGTTTCATGCTCAGGGCAAAGAAACTCAGGCGGCGGAACGCCTTCGGAGCCTTGGGCTCTCGGAGCTGGAAGACTTCCTCAAAGATCGCCCAGTGGTCTTGCTGGAGCTTTCCCGAGCCTCGCCAGTTACCATCACGCTCCATGCAATTCCATGTCGATTGCCGAGCCTTGGAGGAGCCGCAAGAGCCGACCTGGCCAAAGACCGCCAGAGACTTCCGCGATCCCGACGTGCCGACATGCGATTGCTACTGGTAGAGCCCACCTGCGAAGTTGACGGACTCAAGTTCGAAGGCCGTGCACTTGTCGCAGCCAACTCCGAACCTCGCAGCTGTGCCATGTTCCCAAAACGTCTCTGGATCCGAACTGCGTAGCACCGAAACACCAAGATTCGCGCAGCAGGTCTCGAACTGCCTGAAGGGCCTGCATCACGGCAGAGAAAAAATGTTCAGATGGGGAGTGGAAAAAGTGAAATCTAAGAGGGGCCTGCTTCATGGCCCGTGCATCACTACCAGCACAGGCTTGGTCCAGGAGCCGTACAGCTCCTGCATTCTCAACATATCGATTATCCCAACGATTTCGCCAACAAAACACGCTTGTCTCGTAGCACAGATCAATCTGAGCAAGTAAATGAGCCATGCAGACTAGTGACGGTCGGACCCGGCGAGAACACGGCACATCCCTGAGAGAGGGACCAAAGCAAACTACTCCCATTCACCATCCGCAAAGCCGCAAAGAAGCGACCGCTCTCCTGACAGCGCCCGTGGCTTCGTCAGTGGGCCCACAGACGCAAGGCCTTAAGTCCATTGAGACTTAGGTCATCTTAGGTCTACTACAGTCCACTTGTCTGATTTCCAGAGCAATATGCACACACAGGCACGCGCACTGCCAAGGACCACGCTTGCCAGCTCTTCACAAAGAGACGTTGCTTCACGGAGGAGGTCCTGAGGTGTCCGAAATGCAAGTGGCCTGCTCCTTTGCCGGCACTTGATGTCATGACCGGCAGCCAATGCAGATCCTCGTTGGGGACCGCCTTCTCCTGCGCCAGCGGCGGCCCAAAGCATCCAGCCTGGTAGGGAATCGGTATGTCTATGCTGCCTGCCGGCCTGCTGTTCCATCCGAGTCGTCTGCCTGTTGTGGATCCCGGGTTGCGATGAGCCGCTTTGCCCAGCGGTACACCTGACAAGAGGCCACTACCGCGAACACCAGCTGAGCTTAAGGTCTGCGAGTAAGAGCCGTGCCCCGTGGCGGCAGAGCGTGGTCAGGAGTCGTGGTTCTTCGAGGGCTCTAGCCTGCGAGAACAACTTCGCGCTCAAGAACAAGCCATCCTCATCTCACGTGGCGAAGCCTTGGACACTGGCCAACTTTACAGGATAAAGATCCAAGTAGCCGTGTGTTCTGTTGAATAATCGCACCATTTGCTTGACTGCTATTGTTGTGATTTAACATTCAATAGTTTACTCGTATCGTTACGCAGGGAAAATGACATCGTTCTTGTTTACTCGCTTTACAATCAGGACGTGTTCTTCAACACGATAGCTGGGACTTTGATTTCCATCATACGAGGATTGTTCTTCATGTGGCCCGGCTGAAAGCAATCGCCATGCCTTGAGGGCTCTTGCGAGCCGCATGGCGTAGAGGGCCTGGGGTAGATCAGGCTCAGCTTGGATTGAAGACTGAAGGAGGTTTGAAGAACTTGGCAGAACCTAGACGCGAGTCGAACACAAGTGTAATACCTGAAATTGCAGACCTCACCCAGACCCTAGTGAGATCATCTCAGGTTCCGGCAGAAGTAGCGCCTGAGGTGCCCTCAATTGCTCGACACCTGCCATGAACACATAAGCAGAATCGGTGCTGTCCTGCTCGACCCTCTCGACATGAGTGCCACAGCCACAACGATCATACCATCGTGGGAATGTTCCCTGAGCCGATTGGGATTTGATCTTTTCTCGGATTTGGTGAATTTGAAGCTCCAGTGGCTGTGGTTTTGGGCCGCCTCGAGGCACCCCTTTGTAACGAACTGTGTGACAGTTGGCATGCGGCGTAATGCTCCGAAGGTCGACACTGCTGAGCCCTTGCTGTCTTAGGCCTCGTCTGGAATTGCGCATCTCTCGACTCTCGACCCGCAGTCATGCCATAGGCAACACTCGCTGCGAGCCCAATCCCTGGCCCTGGCAGTTGACTTGAAGCAAAGGGGCAGGAAGCCGTTGAGGAAGTCCATGCAGGAGTTGGAATCCTGCCGATTTTTCTCTCTCGTTCTGTACTTGTTACTTGTACCCTTCACAACGAAAACCCGAAGCAGAAGAGACTCCGCCTGTGACTGGAAGAGGGCCCGCTGCAAAGCGTACACCGGCAAGGACCGGACGAGCAGCAGCGCAGTCTGCGACAGGGCCACGAAACTGACTCTGGCGACCTTAAGGAATTGAAAACTGCCAACTACTCCAAACCCCTAAACCCTAAACCCCAAACCCTAAGCCCTAGGCCCCTGTAACCCCCATGAGAGCCCGAGCCCAAGCGACCTCCAAGGCCTCAAGTGGAGGCGGCCGGAAACCTGGCCAGGCCAAGATCCGGCACAGGTGCCCAACAAGCTCTTTGGATCTTATAATTCCCGAAACCATAGAGGGTTTTTACAAAACCCCACCCAAAAAATCAATAAACCCCTAAACCATGGCCTTCTAAACCGCCGACACCCTAGGCCCTACAGCGGCTTCGAACCGTGCCTTGCAAGGCGCTGGAGGTCCCGCGCAAGGCCAGGAGTGGGCCCAAAACCTCCGTCGCCAAGTCCTCCTGAAAAGCGAAAGATAAAATCTACCGTTTAGGGTTTAGGGTTTTAGGGTTAGGAAAAACCTACCACTGCAAGGAACTCTGATAAAAATGGGGGCCTTAATCTTTCGAATCAGAACAATATCTGCGCGAGTCTACTGTCCTTACTATGAGAGACAGAGGTCCAGGAAGTTTAGGGTTTAGGAAACCCTCAACTTTACAACCCTACACGTTGACGTATTCTCGGTCAGCTTTCTCTTTCAGGGATCGGCCAAATTTGTGAGTTCGGACTCGGGCGCAAAGGCTTTGAGGATTCATGCGACTGGGCGCGGCGATTGCGGCTGCCATAGCAGGGATGGTTCAAGTCAGCGGTGAGCGGCATTTGAGACTTTCCTAGCTACGAAACTTACTATACTCCAGTATGTAAGACATCGGTGACTTCCTCGCGATGCCCTCGCTTCATGATTCCCATGGTTGCTGCGCCTCCAAAGAAGCCACGACTTCAGGAAGACCGCACGGTGGCTCGGATGCCTGGTGTCGCAAGCTCTGAGTCAAAAGAACGTTGAGCATCCTTTCTTCAGCATCTAAGCACGACTTTGGCACAGCTCTCCAAGGGCCAGGCGCATGGCTCAGCACCATGACGTCGCAGCAGCTGCGTGCACTGCTCCGCATTGGAGACCTGCAACGAGCTAAGAAACACCTTACAGTGCTGTTCGGCGACGTTACTCGATGCCTCGTCCATTGAGCTTCCCAAAGTGATTGTCTTTTGCAGAAGCTGAAGAGCAGTCTGGCCACTGCGATCAGACTGGTCAGGGCCTCCCGCAACCACTACAGATTGACCGATGCTGATCTGAGACGAGAACTGGGATCCGTGCAAGCGCGCGCTTCCAGCAGCAATGTGAAGACCTTTCAGAGACGTCATGATACCTTTTCTTCCACGACCTTTTCGTCTTCGAGTATCCCTGAACATGTGACTCGGTAGCTCTTGTACTGTACTGCTGGTCATCTTCCGACGCACCAAATCCAAGACCTTGAACATTCGTGAAGCAGTCCTCCGTTCTCGGCAACCACTTCCAAAACCCTCTGCACGGTGGACAAGACATGACAAGATCATGCGCCAGTTCCCAGTCCAAAAACAACAACACAATGCGCAGAAACCTACAGACACAGAGATGCACACACACGCAAAGAGACACGGCCACGGAAACACAGACACAGACACAGACACACACACACACACACAAGCCACGTTGCCAACGGAGGGAACACACCTCAATCAACAAAACTGAACTCCGAGTGAGGCTTCACCAGGTTGAGTCCGCCTGATACGAGCATCCGCTTTTGGCAGCACCGAGCAGCGCCGTCTGTCCCTCCGCCTGGGACTTCAGGATTTCATCAGGGTGTAAAAGTTCATGGAGACTAATTCGCGGAGTTTTGCCAATCCCGTTCCGCGAACATCCCAGCACTGCTTGTCCCTGCAGCACCAAGACAGGTAAGCTCGCATGCGCGAGAACGAAACTACCGTGGAAGCCAACAGGAGAGGAGTTCGGCCTGTTATGAAGTGATGTGTCTAACTTGACTCCTGGATGAGCAGGTGGGTTCAGAGCAAGTCAAGTGTGCATCCGTCAACATTTTGCTCCAAGCGGAACAGGTGAGAGTGGTCTGGGATCGGCTTGCACGGGGCAAGTAGAATCCCGCAGTCACAAGGGCTAATGAATGAGGCTTATCACGCAACGAGTTCTCAGGTGCTTGGCCTTTCTTCATTTTTCATCTACGCATTGTGCGATGTGTTTACGACTTATCCGAACCGCACCCGCTTGATGCGTGACGCTGGTTAAAAAATCCCACCGGCCCTGAACGAAGAACGGCTTCGCAGTCCTTCGCGAAGAATTCAAAAATCGGACGTAACTTATAAACAATTGCAAGAACGGCTTGCTGCAGCAAGGGCAGCTGCGTGAAGCGGCAGAATCCGAAACTTCCTTTGAAAGGAATAATTCGGAAGCACATATCTGAAATAAGCCCCGCATAGTTTCGGTCTTCTCCACCACTCACAGTGTACATGCTCGGCTTACAATTCTACAATTCGGAGAGTGTAGAAATACCCCACAGGCGCGCCCTCTCGTGGGATTTGCATGTTATCCTCATTCAATCAGTCAAGAGTTGGGTGGTTGCCAATGCATGATGCGATTGTACTGCATTACCATCGCTCAAGCCTAGCCCGGTCCTGAGAAAACTGAGCCCGAAGGCGCAAGAGAACGCGAGAATGAGGTTTCATTCTCAGTTCACGATCCGACGTGAATCGTCTAAGGTAACTGCTCGGCAGCCGTGCCAGAATTGGAAAAGAAGGAAGATTCAGGCACAGCAAAACGGATTCTCGACATGCAAGCGAATTCCGAGCCTCGTGTTGGCCCGGCGACGTGGGACTGTCCCAAAAAAGAGGCTTGAGGATAGCGTAAGCAACATAGTTTCACTGACATCTGGCATGGAGCCTTCCTTCATACTGGTCTCGACTTTGAGACAGACCGGCATCTAGTCTAGGCCCTCATGAGCCACGTCGCCTCAGACTTTCAAAACCCTGCGCAAAAGCCCGAAAGCTCACATGCCCACCATTGAAAACGGCTAGACAATGCTAGAATCACCGGATCAAAGCGTCGGAGAACCCTCAAGTGATGTCAATCTCCGCGACGCGTGGCCGTGCCGCTTTGGGGAGCTGAGGGCCGGGCTGCGCTGCTAGTGCCAGGACCTTACTATCATACTTCAAGGGTGCCATCATCGTCATCACCACAGTACGGGCAACTACAGCAATTACAAGTACTGTACCGTCTTTGAGGCTTCAAGGACTCATAATAAGACCGTTAAACCGATGTAGCCATGAACACGTGACTGGCACTGCACATGCTCATGACGGGCTTCAAGCTTTGGGACTCCTCCTTGGGATTGAGAATCTGTGCCCCGGGCATTCAAGCGCAACTTCATGGGAAGGCGATCAAAGACCTCCTTCATCCTGCATCTCAGCATTGCATTGAATTCTGCGGACAGGACCCACACCCCGCAACCTTGCGAAGGCCCTCTACCCGTGCCTCTGGGTCCATGCATCAACGGACTCCCCCGCGCTTTGAGAGAGCATCTGCCTGCGCCTTCATCAGTCTCTACTCTCCGGTGAATTGCTTAGTTTAGGGCTCCTGCATTCCACCGGTCTTTGGGGGTAGTAAGGCTCAGGGCAACAGAGGGCTTCTGCTGACTTCTGCGTTTGAAGCCTCTCTTCGTCTGCCAACTTGGCAGTGAAGCTGTTCGCCGCCGAGAAGGGGTCCCAGAGAGGTTCCTTCGCCATGCCCTGTCAGGATTTGGCTCATGAGCTCTGTATGCGTGCTTGTAAAAATTATGGTCCATTGTTGGGTACTTAAAAATTAGGTGCCGTACTATATTAGGGACCCAAAAAAGGGACCATAATGGACCCGTATGCTGAACCTGAACGCCTCGACGGCGAAACCTTTTCTTGACCCCGCCTGCCGGGCGGTCAGTGGGCAAGGAAGCGCTCCCTTGTCCTCTACCATTTGCTCGGCAGTCACCTTACCAAGGCATCTGAAACAATGCAGCCGACAAGCAGCCTTGAACGGCCAAGCTGGGTGTGGCAAGCATCTCTGGGCTGCTGGCATATTCCAAAACCTGTCCAAAGACTCGGCACTAAACGCATTAATGTCGTGATGAGTGCTTCCGTGACACATGACTACAACAGCAATGGCAACTTCAACAGCAACGCCGCCACTGCCACCGCCACTACCATCAGCAGCAGCAGCAGCAGCACCACTACCAACAACAACAGCGCCAACGACACCACCACCAGCAGCAGCAGCAGCAGCCCGCACCCCCCCCCCCCCGCCCCGATCACCACCACATCAACCACCTCTGCAAGCTCCAACTGCAACTGTGACTGGAACAACACCGAAAACGACATGACAACGACTCCACCACCACTCCCACCACCACTGTCACCACTGCTGCTCCAATTACTCATAGTACTCCTAGTACCCCCCCAGTACTCCTAGCACTCCCATTCGTACCCTGCATCTGCTGCGCCTGCTGCTACAATGGACTTGCTTTCTGTTGGCTTTTGCTGCCGCTCCTTTGCATCACAGGACCGCCGCCTGAAGCTCCTCCCTGCTCACCCAGTAGATGCAATCCACTGGGCAAGAGGTCACCGCATAGTCCAGGTACTCCTCGTTGAAGCTTCACGGCGGTTCTTCAGTCAAGCAGGAATCCCGATGGTAGTGAGATCTGGCCGAGGGGTTATCGGGTAAACATCTTCCGGGCACGAAGCTGCAGGTTGTGAGGGCAAGTAATGAGATGATACTGACCTCCTTGAGATTTCAAAAACTCGAAACCTGGAGACGAGCTGGGCCAATTGCGGCGGCTGCCGACATCACAGCTAAAGACTTTCATAGTGCTGACCACCGCTGAACTCTTGTCCGCTTATGTTGACGATTGGTGACTGGTGTGGAAGAGCCCGAGCAGTGCATGGCATCATGCAAGGTGCAACCTCCCATGGTCTTGCTGCATGAGTGATTCAACTCGTCGGCTACTCAGCTCTTCCTCTTCCATGCAACTTCCGGATCCGAGTCTCTGCGATGGTCTATGTTCGCACTGTGTGCGTTGAGCCACGGCTGGGTACATGTGACGTGCTGCACTCAGAACCTAAACCACAGACAAAGGCCTCTGGGCCCTTTCCCAGAGTCTACCAGGATGACAAAAACAACGTCAGCAGCCCTTGCACCTTATCCCCGAATTTCAAAGGCTACAAAACAGCTGTCGCAATGCAAGCAGATAGAACGGTCAACCACCACCTGCGTCATGATGTTGCTTGCAATACATACTTCAAGGCATGACATCGAGGGTGAGCAATTTCATCACTGCCAAGATCTCACCACGTTCTTCACTTTCCTTTGGCATGGTTGTTACTCTCATCATCGCCACCACCACACCAGCAACCACAGGACCGAATAAGATTCTCTCAATGGTGTGCCATCCTTAGCTGTGCCATCACCATCATAATCATCCTGGTCCATGATCGCCACGGCTCATAATCTACATCGTTGCCAGCAGCATCGCAGTCACAAATTAGGAGTGATTGAAACGCAGCCACGCCCCTTCGAGTCCTCCGAGTTGCCCCACTGCATGTAAACGTTGGCTCGGCCTGCCATGACCCGACTGCTTCATTTGGCCTATCCATGCCATATTCATAATGCTTTTCGACGGCGGGGGGCTCATATCAAAGGGCCAAACCTAGATGCATTACCATGATGTTGATGATGCTGGTGATAGCGCTATCAACCTCATAGTGTGTTTGATGGCCTGTGCAACGGAGCAGCTGTGGCGGAGCATACATTTTCGGAACGGGAAGCCACAACTGCTGATACGTTTAGCAGCAAGTTTAGCAGTTCTGTAACCTCTGCAGCATCCACAGCATCGCCAAGGACTACGGGAGAGTCTGAAACTGGCGAGAAGGAAGCCGACATTCGGGTCTGCAGATGCGTTTGTCTGAGTGTGGCTCACAGAGTTACCACCTGCAAACAGTGGATGTGGATGACATGGCCAAGGATCATGCACAAGCACCAAAGACTAGCGACACAGAAATTGCCAAGGCGCCGTTGTCATTCTGAATGCAGAATGACTGTGGGGCGATGTCACAGCCTGGTGGCCAGCAATGTGAACATGCGACTTGTATGGTGGGTGAGCGGGATGTGGATAGCACAAGTTCGGCCCAAATACGAACAGCAAAGTTCAACAAAGAGGGCTTTACTTTTCCATCGCACTTCACAATCCTGAGCCTGACAACAGAGTTTAAAGCAGCTGCGGTACTGCATGGCATTGCTTTGTTCCATTCCAGGCTCAAGAACCCTGCCTGTCCAAATTCGCGAGAAGCGATCGAGCAAGATGCTTGCTGGTGCTCGGCTTGTGGTACGAGTAAAGCAGCACGGCTGCTGCTAAAATCTAGACTGTCTGCCTAGTAGGGATGTGACCTGCGCTCCAATCATAATTCGAAGGGTTCAGCTTCCGCACGGCTGGAACTCGAACGGCGTCTGGAAACCCAAACCGTGCATGCCAAGACTTGCGCCTATCATCTGTCTTGAAGCCGTGCTTGAAAGAACACCCGCAGGGGCTGGTCTAGAGTTTATCATGCTCCCGATTATTATGGCTATTCTCGTAAGTTCACGTCGAAACTAATATTATTCGTCATCGTCAGTTTTGTGGATGCGGTCAAAGGTACAGTTACGGCAGCAGATGCAAGACCATTCGTCGACGAAGAGCATCCTTGGCTGCGATCTTCTCAGGGTTGGTAGTATCGTTCGTGCGATTACGGTTCGAACGACCAAGATTC